GTTATCATGGCTCCCATTGCTTATCTGTTGAGAGACCACAGTTGGAGATATCTTCAAATTGCTCTTACCTGCTTTTCTCTGTTTAGTCTGATTCAATATTGGTAAGAATGAATAGTAACGAAAATACTTATTCATACTAAAGATCATTTCTGTAACATACGTTAAAAAGTTGACTTTATTGTTTATGTAAGATGTCATATTTCTGAAAAATCACTTACCACCTAATGGTCGTAAAACCACTAAATTTATTCATATTTTTATTTAGCATTTTTGTGATACAACAGTCTAACTTTCCTAGAAAAACAATTAAGATCGATTATTTAAGGGACATACATGTATCACTAAAAGATTTTTAAACTACCAGTAGTTACATATATCATGAGTTGTCTGCAATAATTGTTTTAAAATACTTATGATGTAGTAATTTATGCCTGGAGAATTTTTCGTAACTTAATTAAGAGTAAGATTTTCCCCGAAACAATCTGCAGATTGAATTTGGTTTGTATATACTCAAAGGTAAATTCTATTCCCTATCCCATGTTATTTTTCATGTTTGAAGCTTGGTTGATTGATCATCTTTTCAAAGATCTCAATAGCCTTTAACAAATCATAAACCTACAGGGTTCAAGATGAATCTTTAAGATGGCTTGTCGCAAATGGGAAAAAGAAGGAGGCTGATAGAGTGATACGAAAAGTGGCAAAATGGAATAAAATCAGTTATGAAGAGCTGAGTAAGATGGTGGAGAGAAAAATGGCGCAAACCAAAACTATTCCTGAGCAACAGACTGATGATGAGAAAACGGATGAAGAAAGCCATGAATCCGATTCGCCTTTGATTGAAAAATACTCAATCATTACAATTTTGCGGAATAAAACCATTCTCGCAATATCGCTGATTATGTGGTTTACATGGCAAGTTTCTACTATTTACCTTTGTTTGATTTGTAAGGGTGTAAGATGTGAGGGATGGTGAGGGTGTGTATTTGTGTGTTTAGCGTTTAGGATTTTATAAATGAATACCTATCTTTAAGCGATTCGTCATTCACAAGTTCATGAAATAGACATGGGAAATGCAATGACTTTTAAGTGCACATGCATTATTCATTATTAAACATCAAATGTTTTGACGTTATAGGGTTACCAACACCGTAACCTATTTTGGATTAACTTTGACGTCGACAAGGCTAGCGGGGGATCGTTATCTGAATTTCTTCTTATCCTCCTTTGTGGAATATATTGCTGTTATTCTTGAGTATATCATGCTTCGTTGGTAAGTTTATAGACACTTTGTTAATCGTCATCTAAACACCAATTTCTTGTTAAAACTATTTATTTTCTTAGCGTCTTAATTATGTTCCCCAAACGGAGTTTGGGAACATATTGTTTTTACTCGGTTTCTTATTATGTTCCCCAAACGAAGTTGGGGAACATATTGTTTTTACTCTGTTTCTTATTATGTTCCCCAAACGAAGTTGGGGAACATATTGTTTTTACTCTGTTTCTTATTATTATGTTCCCCAAACGAAGTTGGGGAACATATTGTTTTTACTCTGTTTCTTATTATTATTATGTTCCCCAAACGAAGTTGGGGAACATATTGTTTTTACTCTGTTTCTTATTATGTTCCCCAAACGAAGTTGGGGAACATATTGTTTTTACTCTGTTTCTTATTATTATTATTTTTCTTCTTCTTCCTGGGTACTTTTTTGTCCGGGAATGATCTTGTAAACTGTTCATCCGATGTAGGTAAAACCTTTTTAGGGTTAGTAGACATGTTATGTAGATTTGCCTAGTCAAGGTCATTTTGCGCGCACGTGCTTGCAAGAGCGTGCACGTGCAACACGAGAAATGATCAATATAATTGATGTAGACTTACTTTCTCAATTTTTGATGAAATGCGTTGAAACTCATATTGTAATGATATATTAGTAGCATAGACAAGATGACATGGTCAAAATAGCAAGATCTCACGCGCATGCACGTGCGCTTTGCTCTGATTGGCTGAAACTAAAGTCTCAATATCTTTCTTGTTTTTTGACGAAATCCTTTGAAATTTTGAACAAAGTCATGTATTACGATATCTTACAACATGATATATAGCAATTATCATGAGAACACGTGTATGCACGTGCACTGCAATCTGATTGGCTGAAACTTTAAATAGCTATAACTCCCTCGGTTTTCAACCAAACAGGATGGGATTTGGAACATAGATAAATATAATGGACTTCTACAAGTAGGTGTGGTCACCATTCACATGCATACACGTGCGTGTACGTGCGCTGCAATCTGATTGGCTGAAACTTTAAACAGCTTTAACTCCCTTGGTTTTCAACCAAACAGGATTGGATTTGGAGCATAGAGATATATAATGGACTTCTACAAGAAGGCATGATCACCATGCACATGCATGCATGCATGTGCGTGTATGTGCGCTGTAATCTGATTGGCTGAAACTTTAAACAGCTATAACTCCCTTGGTTTTGAACCAAACGGGGTGAGATTTAGAACATAGATAGATGTAATGGACTTATACAAGAAGGTATGGTCACCATGCTCATGTATGCACTTGCGTGCACGTGAAATGGGTAAAATTAAAAATACACTTGAATGAGCGTTTTTTTTTTTATACTTTTGGATTAAATACTTTAATATTAAGCATATTAAAATATATAGATTGTGTAGACAATATGATATGGTCATTACGCACATGCATTCACATGCGCAAGTGTGCAATGATAAAATTTGAATGAACATAGTACACTTTTGGGTAAACGTTGATAAAGTCTCAAATGCATAGAGTTTGTCTTATTTAATTAGGCTTACAGGGAATATGACTATAAAAGGGAGTTGGGGAGCGTTTGGGGAACATCTGTAACGGTCCCCGTTACAATTAGCACTAGTTATTATTATTTTTCTTCTTCTTCTTCTTCTTCCTGGGTACTTTTTTGTCCGGGAGTGATCTTGTAAACTGTTCGTCCGATGTAGGGTAAACCTTTTTAGGGTCAGTAGACATGTTATGTAGATTTGCGGAATCAAGGTCATTTTGCGCGCACGTGCTTGCAAGAGCGTGCACGTGCAACACGTGAAATGACCAATATAATGGATATTGCCGTAACTTTTCTATTTTTTGATGAATTTTTTTGAAACTCATAATGTAAGGATACATTAGAAGTATAGACAAGATAGCATGGTCAAAATAGCAAGATCTCACGCGCATGCACGTGCGCTTCGCTCTGATTGGCTGAAACTAAAGTCTCAATATCTTTCTTGTTTCTTGTCATAATCCTTTGAAATTTTGAACATAGTGCTACATTATGAAGATCTACAGCATGATATAAAAGAATTTTCATAAAAGCATGCGCATGTGCGCGTGCTGCAATCTGATTGGCTGAAACTTTAAATGGCTATATTTCCTTTGTTTTTTGACGAAATTCTTAGAAATTTAAAATATAGTCATGCATTAGGATAACCTACAATATCCTATAGAAAAAAATCATGAAATCACGCACATGCATGTGTGCTGCAATCTGATTGGCTGAAACTTGAAATGGCTATAACTCCCTTGTTTTTCTACCGAACCGGATGGGATTTAGAACATAGATCGTTGTAAGGGACTCCTACAAGAAGGTATGGTCATCATGCACGTGCACGCACGTGCGTGCATTTAGAACGAGTATAATTAAAAATACACTAGAATGAGTGATTTTTATTACTTTTGGACTGAATGCTTTAATATATAGTACATTAAAATATATAGATAGTGTAGACAAGATGATATGGTCATAACTCACATGCATTCACATGCGCTGGGGTGCAATGCAAAAATTTGAATATAATTGGTATCCTTTTGGGAAAACGTTGTTAAAAGCAAAAATGCACAGAGTTTGTCTTATTTAATGAAGCTTACAGGGAATATGGCACCAAAAGGGAGTTGGGGAGCGTTTGGGGAACATCTGTAACGGTTCCCGTTACAATTAGCACTAGTTATGTTCCCCAAACGAAGTTGGGGAACATATTGTTTTTACTCTGTTTCTTATTATTATTATTATTTTTCTTCTCGGGAAAATTTTGTCCGCGAATGATCTTGTAAAGTACACATCCGATTAAGGGGAAACCTTTTTAGGGTAAGTAGGCATGTTATGTAGATTTGCGGAACGAAGGTCATTTTGCGCGCACGTGCTTGCAAGAGCGCGCACGTGCAACACGTGAAATGACCAATATACTTGAAATTGCCATAACTTTTACATTTTTCGATATAATGCTCCGATATTTAGAATATATAGACATATTATAATTATAGATAAGATCACATTGTCAACATGCCATTTTGTGTGCACGTGCTTGCAAGAGCGCGCACGAGCAACACGTGAAATGACCGATTTAATTGATATAGGCGTAAATTTATACCTTTTTGATGAAATGCTTTGAAACTCATAATATAAGAATATAGTAGTAGCATAGACAATATGACATGGTCAAAATAGCAAGATCTCACGCGCATGCACGTGCGCTTCGCTCTGATTGGCTGAAACTAAAGTCTCAATATCTTTCTTGTTTTTTGATGAAATCCCTTGAAATTTTGAACATAGCCATGCATTAGGATATCCTACAACAAGATATATAGCAATAATCAAGTAAACACGTGCATGCACGTGCGCTGCAATCTGATTGGCTTAAACTTTAAATGGCTATAACTCCCTTGTTTTTCAACCAAACAAGATGGGATTAAGAACATGGACAGGCATAATGGACTCCTACAAGAAGGTATGGTCATCATGCACGTGCGTGCACGTGCAATGAGTAAAATAGTGTAGACAAGATGACATAGTCATTACGCTCATGCAATGTTGTTTAAGTCTTAAATGCATAGATTCTGCCTATTTTTATGAAACTTACAGGAATATGGCACGAAAAGGGAGTTGGGGAGCGTTTGGGGAACATCTGTAACGGTTCCCGTTACAATTAGCACTAGTTATTATTATTTTTCTTCTTCTTCTTCTTCCTGGAACTTTTTTGTCCGGGAATGATCTTGTAAACTGTTCGTCCGATGTAGGTAAAATCTTTTTAGGGTTAGTAGACATGTTATGTAGATTTGCGGAATCAAGGTCATTTTGCGCGCACGTGCTTGCAAGAGCGTGCACGTGCAACACGTGAAATGACCAACATAATAGATATAGCCACAACCGTTCTATTTTTAGATGAAATGCTTTGAAACTCATAATGTGAGGATATATTAGTAGTATAGACATGACGACATGGTGAAAATAGCAAGATCTCACGCGCATGCACGTGCACTTTGCTCTGATTGGCTGCAACTAAAGTCTCAATATCTTTCTTGTTTTTTGACGAAATCCTTTGAAATTTTGCACATAGCAATGTATTAGGATATCCTACAACATGAAATAAAGCAATTATCATGAAAACACGTGCATGCACGTGCGCTGCAATCTCATTGGCTGAAACTTTAAACAGTTATAACTCCCTTGGTTTTCAACCAAACAGGATGGGATTTGGAACATAGATAGATATAATGGACTTCTACAAGTAGGTATGGTCACCATGCACATGCATACACGTGCGTGTACATGTGCTGCAATCTGATTGGCTGAAACTTTAAACAGCTATAACTCCCTTAGTTTTCACCCAAACGGGGTGGAATTTAGAACATGAATAGATGTAATTGACTTCTACAAGAAGGTATGGTCACCATGCTCATGTATGCACGTGCGTGCACGTGAAATGAGTAAAATCAAACATACACTTGAATGAGCGTATTTTTTAAATAATTTTGGATGAAATACTTTAATATTCAGTGTATTAAAAATATAGATTGTGTAGACAAGATGATATGGTGATGACGCAAATGCATTCACATGTGCACGCGTGCAATACTAAAGTTTAAATGATTTTTGTACACTTCTTTGTAAATGTTGTTAAAATCTCAGATGCATAGAGTTTGTCTTATTTAATGAAGCTTACAGGGAATATGGCACCAAAAGGGAGTTGGGGAGCGTTTGGGGAACATCTGTAACGGTCCCCGTTACAATTAGCACTAGTTATTATTATTATTATTTTTCTTCTTCTTCTTCTTCCTGGGTACTTTTTTGTCCGGGAATGATCTTGTAATCTACACATCCGACTTAGGTAAAACCTTTTTAGGGTCAGTAGGCATGTTATGTAGATTTGCGGAACGAAGGTCATTTTGCGCGCACGTGCTTGCAAGAGCGTGCACGTGCAACACGTGAAATGACCGATTTAATTGATATA